ATACTTATGACAAATAGAAATATGAGGTATGTATGTATCTTTCACTGAATCTTAATGTGAAATATTCCACGAACTTGTTTATTTCTATTGACTCCCAAAAGTCTAACCACGATGCTAGCTTCAGAACCTGTGACAGCCCCACTCTGCCCCGGCAACAGTCTAGATTTGTCATCTGCCCTCATTTTATGTAAAACAGTTGTTCTAGCTTGAATGAATCTAGAATTCATCGTTAAGATTGTGAAGTCACTGGTACTTATAGAGCATCCGATGTCGAGATCATAATACTTTAAATATAACAAGGAAAATGTGACAGAACCATTATTGGCAAATGCTTATAAAGACTGAAAGGAAAATATCTCAATATAAAATCACTGACTGTATTTCTGTCTTTTTCACCTTTTTTTATTCCTGTTGTACATTCAGTGATGGATTTGTTGCTTTGATTGATTTGTTTTGTTCACATTTCTTTCTCAGGCAATTGATAAGTCTTAACCATTAAATCTATTTTTTTAAGGGACAGGGTTTTGCTCTGTCACCTAGGCTTGAAGAGTGCATTGGTGCGATCATAACTTACTATAACCTCAAATTCCTGGGCTCAAGTGATCTCCCACCTCAGCATCCCGAGTAACTAGGAATACAGGTACATGCCACCACGCCCACCTGATTTTTAAAAAAATTTTTCTAGCTTTTCCTCCCTGACGCCACTGAGGTCGCACGTGTGAGGCCTGTCCGCCGCCGAGATGCGCTACGTCGCTTCCTACCTGCTGGCTGCTCTCGGGGGCAACCCCTCCCCCGGCACCAAGGACATCAAGAAAATCCTGGACAGCGTCGGCATCGAGGCGGACGACGACCGGCTCAACAAGGTCATCAGTGAGCGGAATGGAAAAAACATTGAAGATGTCATTGCCCAGGGTATTGGCAAGCTTGCCAGCGTGCCTGCTGGTGGGGCTGTGGCCGTCTCTGCTGCCCCAGGTGCTGCAGCTCCTGCTGCGGGTTCTGCCCCCGCTGCAGCAGAGGAAAAGAAAGATGAGAAGAAGGAGGAGTCTGAAGAATCAGATGATGACATGGGATTTGGCCTATTTGATTAAATTCCTGCTCCCCTGCAAATAAAGCCTTTTTATGTAAAAAAAACAAAAAAAATTTTCTGGAGACAGGTCTCACTGTGTTGCCCACATTGGGATTGAACTCCCATCCCCAAACAATCCTCCTGTCTCACCCTCCCAAAGTGCTGGGATCACAGGCATGAGCCACTGGGCCAAGCCCATTAAGTCTATTTTGACACAAGTTTTTATACATAATTAGATCAGTTTTCTACTCTGTTCCAATCATGAAATAAATGAATATGGGTATAAAAGGAGAATTGGAGCTGGGCGCAGTGGTGCCTATAGTCCCAGCTACTTGGGAGGCTGAGGCAGGAGGATCACTTGAGTCCACGAGTCCTGGGTTGTAGTCTACATTATGCCAATAGGGTGTCTGCACTAAGTTCGGCATCAATATGGTGACCTCCTGGGAGCCCCTCCAGATTGCCTAAGGAGGGGCGAACTGGCACAAGTCAGAAACAGAGCAGGTGAAAACTCCCGCGCTGATCAGTAGTGGGATTATGCCTGTGAGTAGCCGCTGTTCTTTAGCCTGGGCAACACAGCAAGACCCCATCTCTTTAAAAGAAAGGAGAATTGGACTTGAAAGAGACAAATACACATTTATAAGGTTATACCTTCAGTAGGGTAGAAAACTATACATAGAATATTCTCTTTTGAAAATGAAAAAAAATTAAAGAGAGCACAAACTCTGACTGTGTCAAAGTTTTGCATCTGTTAACAATGTGCCCTCTGAGTGAATGCACAGAGAAGGGGGAAAACTCGGAACAATTAAAAACTGCAGAGCAACAATGTCCTCCATGTCTTTGGTTTCCTGTTTGCCTCTAAAATTCTAATCAATTTTTTTATATTTCTCAGATAATTATGTGTGTGCATACTCTTCCTATATATATATACACAAGAGAATTTTCAATGCTAAAAGATTTGTTAGAGCTTAACAAAAGCTCAATTTTAATATTATTCATATTGTTTTTGTTTTAA